CAGGATAAAAATAACGTAGTGCTTTCAAACTTGCAGGATAAGAATAATGTAGTGCTTTCAAAGTTGCATGATAAAAATAACGTATTGCTTTCAAACTTGCAGGATAAAAATAACGTAGTGCTTTCAAAGTTGCATCTCTTTAGTTCTACATTTTTAAGTTGGCTTTTAAGTATCAGACAACATTCGTTTAGCTGCTGTTTCTCCGTACATTAGATTCTTCTAATCTTCTGAACGTAATTTATTCAATTGGTGTTATTTAATAACTTAAGTTGTTGTTACGTTCCCAACAGATATTACTCAACAGTCGTTTCAACTGATGTTATTAAATAACTTGAGTTGTTATTACGTTCCCAACAGATATTACTCAACAGTCGTTAATAAATAATTAAATAATTTGAGTTGTTGTTACGTTCCCAACAGATATTACTCAACAGTCGTTTCAACTGATGTTATTAAATAACTTGAGTTGTTGTTACGTTCCCAACAGATATTACTCAACAGTCGTTTGCTATTGAGCCTGCGGACAGAACGGCAATTCAAGGTGACACTATTGTTCTACCGTGTCGCGTGCTAAATAAAAAAGGAACCTTACAGTGGACTAGAGACGGGTTTGGACTCGGTTCGGAGAGATCGTTGGCTGGATTTCCTCGATATACTATGGTCGGCAGTGACGAGGAAGGTGAATGGTCTATTAAAAAAGATGTTTAGTGTTTTATGTAATTTTGTATTCATTATGTTTTAGCATGCAGAAGAATAGATGCGTTTAAGCAAATTTTATGTACCTTAACTTTATTGTCTTATCTCATATATTTACCCACCACAGGCATTTTTCATAAAAGTAAGTTATACAGCTATTGAGATCCAGCATGACCTGGTGGCTAGGGCGCTCGACTCACAATTTTAATCCCCATCATCGAATATGCTCGCATTTTCAGCCGTAGGGGCGTTATAATAAAACAGACAATCCCGCTATCCGTTGTTAAAAGAGTGGCACAAGAATTGACGGTGGGTGATTTTGACTAGCTGCCTTCCCTCTAGTCCGTCACTAATAAATCAGGGCAGGTAGTGCAAATAGCCTTCGTGTAGCTTTGCCCGAAATTCAAAACAACCGAACCATAGCTATTGTATGAAATAATTTTTATCACTGGAGCAGAACGAGCCTGTGGTCCAGAAGTTAGCATACTGACATATGGATCCAAAAGACAAATATGTATATATATATCTAAGTCATTCTCCGCACGTTGAGGCCATAGGTGAATTATAATAATGATATTCAAATCCAACTATTCGATTATATTAGACTAAGAGTGTTTTGCGCAAATATCCGAAAAACAAACAAACGTGATTTAATATGAGGATCCATGGTTTAAATCTCGATGCTGCAAAAAATGATTTTCATTCAGTATATCTCACCTATTCATTCAGTATACCTCAGCTATTCATTCAGTATATCTCAGCTATTCATTCATTATACCTCACCTATTCATTCATCATATCTCAGCTATTTATTCAGTATATATCAGCTATTCATTCATTATACCTAAGCTATTCATTCATTATATCTCAGCTATTCATTCAGTATATCTCAGCTATTCATTTAGTATATCTCAGCTATTCATTCATTATACCTCAACTATTCATTCATTATACCTCAGCTATTCATTCATTATATCTTAAGTATTCATTCATTATATCTAAGCTATTCATTCATTATACCTCAGCTATTCATTCATTATATCTTAGGTATTCATTCATTATATCTAAGCTATTCATTCATTATACCTCAGCTATTCATTCATTATATCTTAGGTATTCATTCATTATATCTAAGCTATTCATTCATTATACCTCAGCTATTCATTAAATCTTAGGTATTCATTCAATATATCTCAGCTATTCATTAAATCTTAGGTATTCATTCAATATATCTCAGCTATTCATTCATTATATCTAAGCTATTCATTCAATATATCTTAGCTATTCATTCATTAAATCTTAGGTATTCATTCATTAAATCTCAGCTATTCATTCATTATACCTCAGCTGTTCATTCATTATATCTTAGGTATTCATTCATTATATCTAAGCTATTCATTCATTATACCTCAGCTATTCATTCATTATATCTAAGCTATTCATTCAATATATCTCAGCTATTCATTCATTATACCTCAGCTATTCATTCATTAAATCTTAGGTATTCATTCATTATATCTAAGCTATTCATTCAATATATCTTAGTATTTTGTCTATACCTATTTAAAAGTTGTTTACGATCAATTATAAATATATATTTTTCTCTTGATTTAAACTTCTGGTCTGAATATTTAACAGTAAATCAAATGTGAGTTTTAAATGTAAACAAATGTCAGATGACGTCATAAATTAAGACAACATTGTATAGAGTTTAATAATTTAAAAAGTCACTGGAAATTAAAATTACAATTATTCAACAAATCTATGAGCACAAATTATAAGTATTGCCCTTTTTGGCCAGTGATGTGTATTGTTGTAGCACTGTCTTTTCGTCTTACCAGTGAGCTGCATTATTGTTTACAGCCATTACGAGTAATTTTGTGTGTTTCTGGCTAAACTAAATCTTGTAAGTTGGCCGAATCGTGATAGACATGGTTGAGCAAAAGTTACTATGCAGTTGGTATTATAAGGTATTATATTTAGTATTGTACAGTTTATACTAAATAATATATTACACAGACAATTCAAACCAATTTAATTATTATTTATTTTAGAGTAATAGGCAGAAAGTTATAAGTGAAACAGCTATATAGATATGTTTGCACCAGAATGTTATTACAATTACGACAGAAAATAACAACGTTAGTATCCAACTGACGAATCAATGCAGTTTACCCATCATATATTTTATTTTATGACACTGCAAACTCTTAGGTAGACCGATATGTTAAATTAGCCATATTATTTATTGTGGTACTTTTTATTGTGATCTATACAGATAGCTTAGCTCACCAAGTTTGTACCCTATTATCGAGCATGTCAGAGTAGCTTAGATTGTACTCTATTATCGAGCACGTCAGAGTAGCCTAGATAAAATGTATGAACACCAGCTGGGACATGTTTTTTAATTTTATAGCATTAAAAACAATTATGTGGAAAACAATTAGAAAAAAAAATCATTACTTTGTAACTTGAAATTTTCCAAGCCTTTAATACGAAAACATTGACTTCGAAAAAAAGGCACTGTACTCTTGACGCCAAATCTATAAAATACACCAGCTGTATGGTTGAAAACTTTAACTTTAGTTAGTAATTCAATAGCTTTAGAAATCTGATATACACGTGAATTTCCTTGCTAGGATATTAATAAGTTAGATTTTTTTCTACATTTGCAGGGGATTACTCACTTCAAATTACTAATGTCAGTCTAGAAGATGACGCTGTATTCCAATGTCAGGTTGGAGCTTCTGATAGAGTGAAAGGAATTCGATCGCGAAGTGCAGATTTTACAGTTTATGGTACGTTTCTCTCTTCCCACACATTAGGATACTCTTAAATGTAAATTATTTTTTTCAAGTTTGATGCTAAAACCTTCATATTTTTTACTACTTGTTATTTACGAGTAAACATGAGTTTTGTAAATATTGACTTAAATATTGCCTTACCTGTTAATTTTATATTTTTAGAACAAATATATGATGAGATCTGTACTAAATGTAAGATCAGTCAATCACAAAACACACCATAATATTGTATAGCTCATGCTAAAAAAAGTCTTGTATCAAATAATTATCAGTACGTAGAAAAGCAATTTCTTAGAAAGACCAGTGTGTGGTTTCTTTAGAAAACGTGAGATATCAGAACATTCAGGTGGACATTTCTGTGCTTTATTACTGCTGATAAACGGACAACATTTCTGTGCTTTATTACTGCTGATAAACGGACAACATTTCTGTGCTTTATTACTGCTGATAAATGGACTACATTTCTGTGCTTTATTACTGCTGATAAACGAACAACATTTCTGTGCTTTATTACTGCTGATAAACGGACAACATTTCTGTGCTTTATTACTGCTGATAAACGGACAACATTTCTGTGCTTTATTACTGCTGATAAACGGACAACATTTCTGTGCTTTATTACTGCTGATAAACGGACAACATTTCTGTGCTTTATTACTGCTGATAAACGGACATATTTCTGTGCTTTATTACTGCTGATAAACGGACATATTTCTGTGCTTTATTACTGCTGATAAACGGACATATTTCTGTGCTTTATTACTGCTGATAAACGGACAACATTTCTGTGCTTTATTACTGCTGATAAACGGACAACATTTCTGTGCTTTATTAATGCTGATAAACGGACATATTTCATGCCATTTTGGTCAAGCATCATAAACTATAAGTTTTTTGATAACTCTTGCTCTGTTTATCGATAAAAATCACCTTAACTCTCGATATAACTTTTTATTTGGAGGTTAATAAGCGCGTAATAACTTAGAATTCCCTATTACTCGTGAAGACATTTTATTTTACACTGTATTCCTAGTTGTACTAAAGGAGCTGGAAAGTATCAATTATCTGTCAGTTGATTACCGTGATATATGTGTGCTTGTTCTTTTGGATGGTTTAAACGTTCTTTATAAAGAAGTAAATTACAGAAGAAGAAAAATAACACGGTAGAAAAAGTACATCAAACCGTAAATTAAATATTTGTTTCCGTGAATAAACACATATTCGTTAAGTAAAAGTATAAAATTTTTGAGCTTATGACTGATTTCAAAATTTTAATAATCACATGGATATATAATCTAAAGCTCATTTTCTGTCCCTCAGATTGATTTACCGATTTATAACGCTAAAATACAGGGTTCGATTTCCTGCGGTGGACAGAACGCAGTTAGCCTATTGTGTAGCTTTGCGCTAAAAGACAACCCTGAGATTATGACTTCTCCAAAATACAAAGAGTATTGTGAAAAAATACAATAAAATACATAACATTAATCACAGCTTGAACGGCGAATATTTTATCAGGCACGACGTTTTAAAAGAAACAGTAGCTTACTGTACATAAATATTTACCTTGCTATCTGTTAGTTGCCTCAATAAGAGTGACACATGTTTAGCGTTGAAGGTAGACGATAAACAATTTATGTTTTTCACGTGGTTCAATGATTGAAATGAACATGAATGTTATTGAGGTTCTGTTTTAAAATTAATGGGGATTCCTTGTCGTAACTTGCCACAGTTAGAAGTTTGTGATCTTCTAAAGGAGCACTGGTGTCGAGCACAACAACTTAGAAAAGCTTTGAGTGCCTGTCACACTACCACAATTCACCAGCTGTTAACTCTCATTTGTCAGTGTCAAACTAAATATTCGTGACTGTCTTCGTTACTGGTGAACTTCCTATGAACGTGCTCGATACAGAGATGTCAGAATCTCAGTTTCTTGTCAAATACTGTATAATAGCCTTTGATAAAAGATATCATATATTTACTTACACTGAAATAATGTGATACTGGAAAAGTGGTTTCTTTTTGCTTTGAAAACAAATATGATGTAAAACTTCGTGAAAGATAAAGAAAAACCGCAGAATAAGCCATCAAGTTATACATGTTACATACAATATACATGTTACATCATAATATCTTTCACATGCACAGATGCACGGATTTCTTTTATTTTACGGTTTCACATCATCTGGTGTACGAAGTGAATAACATGAAAAATTATTCAGATGTTATTACTTTAAGGAACTAGATTTTTTCTGCATATGTCAGTTAAAATATTAACTTCCATGTGCGGGTAATATATATAAATAGTGAAATTGACTAGGCAGTAAAACTGACAGATTCACTATGGCATACCGAGTCTTCTATATAACTTATCCACTATGGTGTACCGAATCTTCTATATAACTTATCCACTATGGTGTACCGAATCTTCTATATAACTTATCCACTATGGTGTACCGAATCTTCTATATAACTTATCCACTATAGCGTACTGAATCTTCTATATAACTTATCCACTATGGTGTACTGAATCTTCTATATAACTTATCCACTATAGCGTACCGAATCTTCTATATAACTTATCCACTATGGTGTACTGAATCTTCTATATAACTTATCCACTATAGCGTACCGAATCTTCTATATAACTTAT